ATCGTTACAAGAGCCGAACATAAACAGGAGGGGCCAAGTTGATGACTTTGCAGTTAACGTTCGGCATACCGCATACTCTAAGGCAAATATCCCTTAACTTAGATGGGTGTGTGCGGTCGGGGAGGTTATACACAACTGCATTGAGGGAGGACATCACCCTTTTCGTCACTTCTTCAGCCCCAACCTCCAAGATGCACTGGGCTTTAGTGCTAGTGCTAGTGCTCAAGAATCCTGTCTGTGTCGAGGCCCCGTATATGAGTGAGGGATGCTAGCTGCTCAAATTTGCTGTTAATTTCGGATAGAGAGTTTTGTAGCTGTCGGATGTCATTACTATATCTATCAGTATTTTGGTGTGTATGAAATGGACCACTGGACACTTTAGTTCTTGAAATTTTAGATTTAGGCCTTGGTAGAACATATTGTCTAGTAGACTGTGCTGAGTTTTCGATGCACGACGGTATAGTGTCTTGTATGTCAACCAGTCTTACCGTTGGCACACTGCACGCAGAGAGAGAGGGGCTGTGACTTGGAGAATCTGGTGATGATAGAGACATTTGTGCACAATACACATATTGTTCAGTAGTCAAATGTTCGACATTGTCAGGCACTGAGTCGTCAGTTATAGGGGTTACAGATTTGGACCTTTTATTTGGCTTAGAAGTTGGTGAAATTTCTCTTTTACTGGAGTTATTGGTCATGATTTGAAGATGGGTGAGCACAGTGCTCGTTAAATTAAATATAATATCTCGGTATTAGTTATTATTAAGTATTAACCTGGTTAATACTTGGATTAGAGTCTATGAGTATATAATAAATTGTAGATCTATTTAAGACTTAAGTCCGCAATAGGTACAATATGAACTGGTAATTTTCCGTCGAATAAAAAGAAATATTCTTATTTTTAGGGTTAAGATGTACCCGATGTACAGGACAGGATGATAATCACAGTATAATACACCCTACAAAAGAGCAAGTCGAAGAATTCCTAAACCACGTGAAAAAATGTTACCACTTTCAAAGTTCGCGCGATTCATTATGGATGGTTAGAGATAGGTCGTATCTAACTACCGGCCTGTCAGTCTAACTAGCATTGTCGTTAAGTTACTTAAAAAGATAGTTCGGGTTAGGTTACTAAGCCACATAGATTCACACAATCTGTTAGCTCCTGAGCAACATGGATTTCGTAACGAGCGTTTATGCTTGACTAACGTTCTTGTTGCGAGAGAGGATTGGACAGCAGCCTTAGATAAAAGTCTTTCTGTCGATGTGATATTCATAAATTTTAGCAAAACATTTGACAAGGTTTCACACGTAGGTCTTATGTAGAAGCTCACGAGCTTCGGAATACGAGGTACTGTACAGGAGTGGTTGGGAAACTTTTTATGTGACCGCAGACAGTGAGTGAGGGTCAATGGGACGCTATCCAATCGGAAGCCGGTCAAAAGTGGTGCACCCCAAGGCACCATCATAGGCCCTCTGCTCTTCCTTCTGTACGTTAATGAGTTGCTGCTGTTGCTTAGGTCGTCGACATTATTGTTTGCAGATGATGTAAAAATCTGGAGAACAATAAAAAATGAGGGTGATCAGCTGGGTCTTCAAGCTGACTTAGACGATTTAGTTAGATGGGCTCGAGGTTGGGGCTTTGAAATCAATTATCGGAAGAGTGTGCTAATACACATTGGTCATGGTAATAGTTACCATTATACTATTGATGGTAAACTTCTTCCATGCGTTCAAGAACATAAAAACTTAGGAGTAATAATAAGTGATGACTTGAAAACAACTACGCATTGCAGCGCAGCTGCTGTCATAGGTTTTCATGCGTTATGGTCACGTTGCCGAGCATTCAAATGCTTTGACGAGGAAATGTTTTGAATTTTATATCCCACCTATGTAAGACCACACTTAGAGTACTATATTCAAGCAGCTAGCTCATGTCTGGTAAAGGATACTAACTCACTTGAACGCGTTCTGTGTATGAGAACAAAATTAGTGAAGGATCTTTCTAAACTCACTTACGATTAGCGTTTAAAACGCCTAAATTTTTCCCCTTGTCGTATCGTAGGACGCGAGGTGACCTTATACTGGCATTTCGTATCTTTGATTATAATTTGGGTGTTAATATGTCTTATCTTTTTGCTCCCTCCAGCACTAATAATCTCTGAGGTCATATTGAGAAGGATCACAAACTGCGCCCTAATAAACTTAAAGTGTGGTCCCGTTTTTCTCATCGAGTAGTCAATGACCAGAACGCCCTACACGGCCAAGTGGTATCGGCCCCATCAGTTTCAGTTTCAGTTTGGGAAGGGCAGGAGGCCCGATGGCTTGTGTTAGTCCTGTCAATGGTGGTCCCTCAGTTGATCCAACTTTCTTTTGAAAGAATCGACGGATGGAGCCTCAACCACGTGCTGAGGTAGTGAGTTTCACTCGTTGATGATTCGGTGGGAAAGTCGATAGTCGACTGACAAGTAATTTGTTCTTGGCTTGTGAACTTTCATGGAGTGTCCTCGTAAATTCTCTGTTTTGGAAGACAAGAAGAATGAGGGCATATCAGGTGCGAATTTGGCACTGAGCAATTTGAAAACTGTAATCAAGTCGCCTCTAGTTCTGCGATATAACAACAGGAAAAGGTCCAGCTTGGCCAGTCGAGCTTCATACGGAAGCTTCGCAATTCTGGGAATCAGCTTAGTCGCCGTTCTCTGAACCTTTTCCAGAAGCTCACTGTCTGTTTTAAGCAGGGGCTAGCCGCTTGTATGCAGCACTCAAGTTTAGGACGAACGAACACTGTATACAAGGTCAAAAACGTCTTAGTCTCGACATGACTAAAAGCCCTACGTATTGACCATAAGGTTCTAAAACCTTTGGCGGCTATTGCACGGCAGTGTGCAGTAGTTTTTAAGTCTTGGCTAACGATGACTCCTAAGTCATTGTGTGTCTGAACAACAGGTAGCTCAGTATTATTCATCGTGTATGTATCTGTACCTTGATGACCGATAAGCATCACAACACACTTGGAAGTATTTATCGGCAACTGCCAGGTTTGAGACCATTCAGATAATTTCTTCAGGTCATTTTGAAGTTCTAAGCTATCACCCTTACATCGTACCGTTCTCCATATCTTGACATCGTCAGAATATAGCAGGACCGATGATGATAGGAGACGAGGAAGGTCATTTACATACAAGAGGAATAGCACTGACCCCAAAACTGTACCCTGGGGCACTCCACTAAGCACGGTTTCCCAGCTAGATAACTTTGAGTTCACCCGAACTCTTTGTTGACGCCCAACTAAGAAGTCTTTTATCCACATAAATAGACTGCCTCCAATCCCGACATTTCTTAACTTATATAACGGCCGGTTGTGCGGAACCTTGTCAAAAGCTTTGCTTAAATCAACGAAGGCTACGTCTACAGGTAACTTTTGGTCCTTAAGAGCTCACCAGCTTTCACGAGCCACTAATAAGTTAGTGAGACAAGGGTAACCTATTCTGGAACCATGCTGCTTCTCCGAAAGGATCCGGTTTTTATCGAGATACTTAAACAGCTCCTTCCTAATAGTCTTTTCTAAGATTTTAACAACCACACTAGTTAGGCTAACGGGGCGGTAATTCTCAGGTTTGTGTTTCGTACCTGTTTTGAAGACAGGACTTACTATGGCGTTTTTCCAGTCTTTGGGTAAACGACCCTGCGTTACGGATATATTAAAGCATATACTTAAGGGGTTCACAATGAGGTTAGCTAATTCCTTCAGTAGCCTAGGATGTAATTCGTCGGGCCCCGTGGATTTACCTATGTCAAGCTTATTTAGCAGACCAAAGACATCGAGTTCTTTAATGGTCACGCTATCCAGTGTATGTGTGGGGGATCTGTACGCGCTGATGGGAATGGTGCTTCTATGGTGTATACATTGTTAAAGTAGTTTGAGAACACTTGAGCCTTACCAAAGCCGTCCTCCACTAGTGACGCGGAAGTATTGTCTTCCCATAGAGCAGGAATATTTCCTCTTCTCTTTGTCCTTTGGTTTATATAAGAATACAAATGTTTAGGACATTTTATGGATTCCTTAACAATCTTTTCTTCGTACAACTTTCTAGACTTACGGAGGGTCGAGGCACAGGTATTCCGGACTTTTCTATACCGGGATTTAGTTTCATCAGTCCCCAGTAACCTAAATCTATCCCACATTTTTCTTCTCTTACGGAGAAGGATGCGGACCCCCCTACTGAACCATGGTGGGAAGTTTCTCGGTCCCCTTGGTATAGTTCAAGGGATGTGGGGTGTGTAACTTTTAGGTATGAATTTCGAATGCGTCCCAGGCCGTTTCAACTGAGGACTCTGTGTCTATTGTCCAATCTACTAACGATGCTGAGTGCATGATATCTGGTATATTTGCTTTCCAGACGTTAGGTCTGGATTGGGCTGACGCGTGCTCGTGACTGACAGTCATATGGAAGTCGAAAATTAAAACTGAGTGATCACTTTTACCTAGGGGTGGCATATAATGAATGTACGCAACGTCATCCACATAGTGAGTGAGTATCAGATCTAGTAAGGATGATTCAGTGTCCGGGTCGCACCTAGTGAATACTTTCAAGGAGAAGCTGGATCTTCACCGAAAGACAGTCTGCCAGGATTACCACAGGTTCATCAACCTACTATCCTTATCACTGAAGACTAAAGACTGAAGACACTGACCTTTTCACTGAAGCACATTTGCCAGTGATCTGCTGTTTGTGAAACTAGGTTTCTAGTATTCATTATTCCAGATAATGAATCGACTGACGTACGGTTATTCTTTCAGTTTGTTTTTCAGTAAATATCCAGCTTCTCATGAAATGTCTGTTGATGGGAGTCGATGCGACTCAAACTAATTTTTTCAACATTTCGGGCGAGAAGATGAGAGTAAAATATTATTGTTTTTCATAATAAACAAATACTTTTTTGATACTGTCTAAATGAATTTTAGACATTTGTTATAAACGTTAAACTCAATTACCTTATTTTGACTTATTTTCGCTTTCAAATAGCGCAAGGTTTAACGTTCGCGAGAAATGGAGGCGACAAGTGATCTGAGGTCACCATATGACAAAGCAATATTTTCTCCAAAATGTTTTTTGTTTGGCTCAACCCTTTATTCGCGCACTCACATCCAAAAACTTTAACAAGTGACGATGTTTATGTGTGCCCTGAAAGTGAAAAAGCAGATTGGAATACCGAAAAATTAGCACGGTAGGACCCTTTTAAGCCGGTGGGAAATAGATGATTTTAACAGAGAGTGGGATTTAGAGAACAAAAGAAAAATCCGAAACTGTTATTGTCGGTGTTTAAGGCATTTAAAAAAGAGTTATTTATTTCAGGTTTATTTATGATATCTAAAGTTTGTATTTTTAGTAATTTGCATCAATCCTCTTTTAGCTAGCTTGTAATATTTCCAAATCAATAATTCTGCGGCAAGTTTTGCTGGGGTTTAATGATATCGAAGACCGTCAGAATATGATCAGAGCCATTGTCTTTAGCTTCGCATTTATTTTGAACACCATTGTGATGATTATAGTTGTAAATATTAGCTACTGGATTTTATATCGTCTAGGTACACGTGTGCGAGTCGCAGCGTGTGGTTTAATCTTCAAAAAGGTTTGTTCTTTATATCATATTTATTTTTTAGGTACTTCGGCTTAACCAGAAAGCACTGGGATGTTCAACAACTGGTCAGATAATCAATTTGTTGTCTGTAGATGCTCAGTGTTTTGATAATGTGAGTGTAAACACTTCAATTCTGCCATTGATATTTTTTAAAACGTAAGGTCAAGTGTATTATGCGTTGCGTGTTGCTTACGATTATTTAGGTATGCAAATAATACCCTCATTCAACTTGATATTTTATTAACAAACAGCATATTAAACTAAAATGTCGACTGAAAACCCAGTTTTTGACAATCTATTGATATATTGTCTATGTTTTTCAATGTTTGTTTCAATAAGAAACTATCTTTTGATGAGATATAATGTGTGTAACTTCAACTGGTGGAAAGTATGGTGAAACGCGGTCAGGGATTCACGGTGTGAGACTAAGAGTTTAATTTCAAGCGTGATACTTTTACAGATGTACTGCAGGACGGCTTGGGTTGTGGTTACTTTTAAGAAAACAGAAACCCTTTACATTGTTAGGTAAGACTTTTTAACCCTGAATATATTCAGTGTGTTTTGAAAAAGTGACGTTGGACCATATTTTCTGAAGATAGAGTTTGTATAATTTGTGTATAGTAGTGACGGACGAGTAAAAATATGAAAATGACGATTTAACATACAACAATAGCTGGTAAATAGTTGTTAAAATTGTTTTCTTTTAAAAAGAAAATCTGTGTAACTAGGACATGGTCGTACGTCTTATTGATCGACGGAATAATTTCTTGTGCATTTCGTTAAATGTTTTCGTGTAACGCGTAGCTTTACTACTTAAGTTTTTATGTTTCATAATTGTTCAAAACAATAAAGTTCCTCTCCCACAAACTTAAGACCACATTATATAATTACGTGGAAATAAAATCTTGAAAGCATTTTAAATGAGCATGATTGTCAAAAAGTACTTTTTGACCATATACTAATCATCCTTCTATAACAAACCATATAAAATACAATGAATAAATTTCAAGGAATGGTCTTGGATATCTGTATTCTATTTTTCATTGCTATAACACCATTTACTTGTTGTGTAACGAAATAATATTAGTAGACAGATTTATATCACATTTGCTGGGCACAGAATAAAGATCCAGAAATGTGTCGTCCACCACACTAGTAGCATTGTAACTGGTTTTGTGCTTCACCTTGTGATTAAAACACTGGACAGGTATTAAAACTATGTTGCATTTTTACGTGACTTTCTTGTACTGCTGGGTTATTTAAATTGGTTAGACTGAATTGATTTAACGTTATCTTAGTAAACCACTGCAACTGTTAAAAATCACTTTAAGTGCGTTTAGAAATATGTCAGTGGGTAGGAAATTACTTGACAGCGACAGGTAGTTTGATTATTGGTGTTATTCTTACTGGTCTTATGTACTTATGATAGAAGTTTGAAGTTCGGCATCTTCCAGCGATAATGCATGCAAAGAGTCTTCTTTAACCGGTCAGCTCTTTAGACTCAAAAAAGCCACCAAAATTTTAGTAGGATTTAATTATTCTTGCAGTTTCTCATGGATTCTAACCTTACTACATTTGCCGTGACATATTCAAGTATAAAATATATGTAAGTGTTAAAGAGGATAAAATATAATTTTTATGAATTTTATTGAATGTTTTCGTGAACTCTCTTCTATTATCTGTTCTCGCTCTCTGCAACCATTTACTTTATCTATGGATATTAAGGAAGTTATTTTTCAATTTACTGGAATTTATACTTTACATTTATGCTCAATAAAGTCTTTGTCATCTGCCAAGTACTTTCATGACCCGGAGCTAATTAGTTTCAAAGAATTCTCAAATACCTATGGTATAGAATAAGTCAAGAAATTCCCAAACAATGTTAACACTGCATTTGTTGTTGGATTATTCCAAGGCACTTAAGAAGAAATACGGTAGTTCCTCACGCTGACGATTACGTAACGTCTCTAAACGTTTAATCCAAGTAAACTATTTCGGCACGAAAACTCCTTTATTTTGTTGAAAAACCGACTTAATGGTTTTATTATGTTTTCGTTATGCAATTTTACTGACTCTTCTTTTGACAAATTTGTTAGTACCGTGAAATGTATGTCGTTGAATACTCTGGTTTTATTAAATCACGGGTTTCAGTTCATTTCAATCTACGGAAAATAAATGTCTTTATTTTCATTTAACTTAGTAAACAATTCTGTGTCGACAACTGATACAAATTGCATAAGAAATAATTAGTAAATAGACATCGTAATTATAAAGCAAAGATGCTTTAGCGTCTAATAACTAAAACTGCAAAAGTGATGATAAATTGTAATGTAAAATCAAGGGGCAGTATCAAACTTGTAATCCATATGAAACAGTCATTAACAAACTAAAGATTTGTCTTTGCAGAAAGTCTACGGTCGTATGTTTATTCGAATTCATTCACAGAATTGTATAAAATTACTTTACCATTAACTTTTTTTCATAACAGGAAGCAGCGTGTGACAATGAATTTAGACAGTATGCTTATGCATAGCTACATAAATTGATAAATTTAAATGCATCTTAATTTTACAATGAAATGAAATTATGGTTCAACTTTTCGATGATTTTTTTTAGACATTTTTATTCGTACATTATTTATGGATTGGACCAGTTGAGACGCTCATAACTTTTGGCTTAATGAGCCAAATAACTCTTTTCCCAAGTTTAATTACGGTGGGAGTTATTCTCATGTTTATTCCTGTTCAGTTTGCTTTTAATCGGGCATATGGAAAGTCAAGGTATGAATTCACTTGTTTTTATCAATAGGTTTTAAAAGTAGCAATCTATACCTTGATTACAGCCCATATAGTCTCTACATGATTTCAACATTATTCTTTGTATGTAGAAGTAGACTAACACAGAAGCGTAGCTGAAAACAGGTTAAAATGTACCTAGTTTACTCTACAGTTCACAGACACGAATAAAAAAATACTCAAAACGTTAGTTTCATGGTAGGCAATACAAGTATAAAATTGAGATCGACATTAATTGCTCACTTATTTTTTCCTCTCGAAAACATCTATCAAATAAATGGTTCTCAGTATTTTCACGCAGTTCTAATTGTTGATTTTTTTTTGCGACTTATGATTATTTTACACCTCTTGAGACTGACAAGTAACAGCAAAATAATTAAAATTGTGCTGCCCTTTTCCTTCGTATTTCACTCGGGTCAAAATTTATATATATATATATATATATATATATATATATATATATATTAGACTATTCCAATTAAAGGTTTGAGAAGGAAAAAAAACCGTTTGCCCACGGTGTGATAAAATCGGACAAGATTCGGCAAATTAATCGTTAGTGGTGATGTAGTTACATGGACTCCTTTTAGAAATCGATAGCGAAAGACGCATTGGAGCATTTAGTAACCGACGACATTTGGTTCGAATAGAGGTAAATTCGAACCATGTAGTTCTAAACAGATGGCTACACTCACCTGAAGTTGTAAAGGCTTTGGAATCGATCCCATCTAGTATCGTGGATGAGGATAGAGAAAGGGGCTCAAGTTAGGAAAGGATATCCATCGGTCGCTTACTAGTTTTCTGTACCTTTCTGATTAATATCAGTGTGAAGAAAATAATCCCTAGATTAACGAGATTTCACACACATATTTTGAGAAAAACGTTATTTCCGGTGGTTTGGTTGAGCAAAATATCAGTGCAAACGCTTATGCTAGCAAAATTTCGATGTTTTTCTGTTTGACTTAGAATATTTAGCAGCTGTTTATGTGTTTCGGTGGCTTTAGTTTTTGGTATATGATGGTTAGAGTAGTCGTATATTAGGTAACTTGTGTATATCATTTCTTTTGTTCGTGAAGTTAGTACTGATTGTAGTAGAAGGCAAGGCCAGGAGCACTGATTAACATGCCCTGTGAAATGTTTTATTAAAAACTGATCAAAGGAGCTGACAGTAAACTGAGAAATAACGAAAGTTATAGTGACGACTTCACTTATCATAAAACATAACAAGATTCAAGTCGTATCCTAAATGATTCCATCATGGCTCTGAGTCAACGGATGATTAATTTTCATTATTTCCATAGATATGTTTGTAAATGCTTTCCAGGTGAAGCGTTTATACAATTTGATTTCAATTTCTGATATTACTAAGAGATATAAACATTAATTTTAATTTTAGATTCAAAGCTGCTGACGTAACTGATCAACGTATTCGCATTCTTTCAGACATTATAGCAGGTATACGTGTTATAAAATTCCATGTATGGGAAAATGTATTTACGAAATTAGTTCATAGTTTGAGGAGGTTGGTTCATACTTTAACTAAAAATTAATGTATTATTATGGAAATATTTTGCACCACGAATGTACTAAAAATATTGTGTGAAATTTAAGAGAAAGCTTACAATATATTTCATTTCATAGCATTTGATTACCACTTTTTTCTTATGAAATTTAGTTGATTTGTATTTACAACATACTACAGTGTACAGGAAGTAGGCTTGACAATGTCAAGGCAAATATCAATTGGAATATGAAACATGATACATATTGAAACTCGGTCAATTTAATAAAACCCTTATTTTCGTCGGTAAAAACTCTATTTTACAAACTTTTGATCACTACTGACAAAGGTTAATGTTTATCATAAATAATTTAGTTCTGAAGTACTTTTGTAAATTATGTTGTATTTATTGATATTGTTGTGAACCAGTGTTTCTCTTATCTTCAGACGTCATGATATAAGTTTCAACAATCCACTTTAATTTGCTAATAGTGTTGATGTTATGTTTGTAATCGTCACACATAAACTCAAAGTAAAATTTATTTGTCATTTAGACTTAGATTATGTTATAGTTTCCAGTTAATTCGGTGAACAGGGACATTTTTATTTAGATAAAGAAATAATTTAAGATCATACTTTAATATATCCACCTTTATTTTGACATAAATGACTGCTTTACAAAGATAGGAATCTATTTCCTAAAGATTTTATTCAAATGTTCTTTTTAGTAAAGAAATTAAACTTTTTATGAATGGTCGGTGTTTTCAAGCATTCCGGCTGAGTCAGCTAATTTATCAAATAAAGTTTACAGTGATGGTTCTAGTAGTGGGTATTTTACTCTTGCATAAAGGAGCAGATGATCCAGAAGCTCTCAAAAGTTATCAACTGTTTACTTTGATGAATTTAATCACATCGCTTTTTATTTCAGTGATATTATCCATGCCACAAGCAATCGAACAAATAAATATAGCGCACATTGTTGACAAGCGTATATCTGTAAGTTTTATTTATGCCAGATAATTGGTCAAAAAGTTCAAATATCACTTTATTTATATATTTCTAAGTAGAATATGCAAACGATTGTAGTCACTTTAGGTCATATGACTGAATTTATCTGAAATGTTACCATGATGTCTGTACTTTAATGCTTTTGTTGTTTGAAAGCTGAATCTCGTTTCAGTGCTTAAAATAATCCCATTATATGATTAGAAACCAAAATGTGTACACTATCGAATAAACTTTGATAACGCAGTGTGTTTACTAATCGTGTTCTAATGACCTTGAGGTATAAAGTTGAAAACTTGAAACGAAATGTAATGTAAATAGTGTTATCTAAACAGTTTGCTTTTGTTATAATTTAGTGATTCCATCTCATTATAACATTTCATGGTGAGATGAAGCTGAATGGATTAAAAAGTTTGAGCTCTGTTTTCGTTAAAGATGCTCAATACATTAAACGAATTAACTCGACAGTATGTTTAAGCCTTTAACGTATTTCACTATAGATGTTCTATCCAGCTTTTACCCCTGGATGAGTGAGATTATTACCAAATATTTTACTTACGTAAAGCCATCATTTAGAATTGTATGATCATTAAAATTACGAAATGGCTTTCATTTTAGCATTGGATTCTTGATTTTTAAAGAAACTTTAAACGTCACAATGAGAAACGCTTTGTATTATAACTGAAAAGCCATATGTTTACATTTAGGCCTTTTGACCGTTTCGGGCCATAGGTTGCCGACCAGAGATCTCCAACCATTTTTGTCCTTGGTTCCCCTTTTTTGTTTGTTGAAAAGTGCTATTCGTGCTCTTAATGTCTGCCTCCGATTATCGACAAATTATGTTTTTTGGTTCATCTCTGTTCTTTTTGCTTAGAGGATTCAAGTTAGATCTTGTCTTTTGATGAAGTTAAGTATTGTCCTCATTGATGGTGGAAGTGCTTTTTTATGTCTCAAGTCCGTACAATAGAATTATTTTGAAGTTATTATTACAAACTCTAGCTTTGGTCTTGGTGGATAGTTTTTTGCGTTTCAGATATTCTTCAACCGTGGGAAAGGTGTTCTTGGTTTTCAGATTCTCGCCTTTACATATGAAATGAATTTCTCACGTTTAATGAATGATACTGCATTGGTGCATAAATTCTTCTCTCTTTTTTAGATCTTGACCATTAAGCGTGATCACTCTGTCGTACGTCAGGATCTTAATTTTTTGCTTGTGAACGTTGGGTAGTACTTCTGAGGAAACCGCTGCTACAATGTCTGTTTTAGCCTGGACACTTTGCTGCGTATAGGACAGAAGTGCTAAGTCATCTGCGAAGTCTAAATTATGTTGCTTTATCCAAGGTATCCACTGCATTCCTTGCTTTTCCCAAAATATGAACACCTTCATAATAAAGTCAACAGATCGCAACTGAATAAAAGGTTAGAGTGGGCGGCCTTGTTTGACGCCAGCATTCATTTGGAATGCATCTGTGAGCTGCTTCCCATGGACAGCCTTGTAATTTCAATTCCTCGTGGCAGTATCGTGTGATGAATATAATTATCTCAGGCATTCCATCATATGGGGGAAGAATTCAGAAGATTTTCGAATTCACTCTATCGCATGCTTTTCTATAATCAAAGATCTATAGCGATGAATTTCATTCAGTCGATAGCTTAGTAATGTTTTGCAATGTCACAATTTAGACTGTACGTGGCTGGTAGTAATGTAACTCAAATTGTTGATCTCAAAGTCGGGTGTCTACTGAATCTCCCATTCGTTTCCACAACACTCGGTTGAAAATATTACTTGACTCTGGCACTAGTGCGACCTCTATGTAGTTCTCATACATACTGAGGTTTCCTTTATTCAATATCTTAATGAGGTATACCACTTTCCATTATACTTGCACTTGTTCTTCCTCCTAGAGTTTTCTTAAGAGAAAGTGGAGCATCCTCGAACTTGTTTTTTATATAACTTCAGTGCTTCAGTTAATACGATGTCTAGTCCTGCCGCTTTCCTAACTTTTGTCTGTTTGATGACCTTGTTGATAAGATGGTGGTTGGAAGTAGTCAACAGGAAACCCTGGACCTGGGTTTCGTGCTACTTGGCACTCGTCAGTAAGGTGTACCTGTAATCTTGATCATTGGTTGGTGATCAATGACATGTATGTCAGGTCCATGGTTGGTAGACATTCATAGAGAAGTCATTGTACACTACTTTAATGTCCAATGAGTTCACTGATGTTGACCTGTCCAAAAGCCCTTTAAAGTGCTATACCAGCTTCTTCCATTGCTCCTGAACTTCAGTGACTAGTTTTGATCTCTTCGTGCCTAACTGGTCGCCGTCGTTTACTATATTTCTCTGCAAGCTTATTCGGCGTATCATACAGTTGTCTCATACTTCTCTTGTTACGCTTTCTGCTATCGCTGCTGGGTCTTCTACATATTTCCGCTTGTCAGCTCTAATTCTTTTCTTTACTCGTTTGTTTGCTTATTTATATTTGGCCTATGCTTTGAATTCCTCTTATATTTTACGGATGTTCTTGACTGCTATTTTTTCGTTTTTCCCTTCTTAAATCTTCCACAGACTCTCTACATAGGCCCATTGTTTATATTGGTGCTTTTAGACGTTCAGCTTGATCTGGTATATTTAAATCATCACTTCTTTAATCCATTTCCAGTTACTCTCCATTGTGATGACTTCTAACAGATCGTATAAGACTTGAAACTTGTTACCGGTATCTATTTCAAACTGGCTGGGATTATTAGTATCGCAGAGGAAAGGTGTACAAAACACTTGTGGTGGTACTTGCCTGACAGTCAAAAGCTCCTTAAAATTCAGTTTCAGCTTGGCCAACACCAGATGGTGACCTGAAGCTATATCAACTCCTGTCTTTGTTCTTACACTGTCTTTTGGCCTTCTGGATCTTTCGTTCATGTGGATGTGGTCAATCTAGTTTTTGGTGTGTCCTATGAACCCAAATAATTTCGTGTGTACGTTTGTAATTGTACCTGCGACTATGTAGTTGTAAGGATCAGTTGTTCGTCATTGTCGTTGTCTTGTTATCGTCCTACTAGTCTCATGTTGCGCTTATGCCAAGTGTTGTCCATCACTACATTGGTTCTTATGTCTCTCATCATGATGGTCAAGTTCTCTATTGTGGACCGCAGTATTTCACAAGCTAGTCTTTATCATCCTCACTGTCATCATTAGATGGTGAGTAGTACAAATGGCATTCATTGTAGCTCTTTCCTTTTTTATTTTGGAGAATACTTTGATGATGTTTGAGCTGTTGGCTTCCCATCTCATAAGCACTTTCCGTGCCTATTTAAACTATATCAGTGAAACCCCTTGTGTGTGAGAGCCAATTTCTTCTTTATGACCAAAAGACAATAACAGAGTTCCTGAAGTTAGTTCTCTGTCCAGATTGTATTCAGTGATTCCTGTTTGTTCCAAGAAGAGCCAAATAGTATCTTCGGATCTCCAAGGCTATTGAAATGACATTAGTCTTCCACGTTCTGACATTCAATTTACCTAAGTTTCCTATTGCCCTGGTTGTCGTAAGGGGCATTAATTATGTAGCTTATGGAGTCTCCTAGCTTTCATTATGAGACATCATAGGAAGCGAATTACATATAGTTGTAAAATGTTAGAAATTCGATTTTTGTTTCATTTGGATTTTGTAAATATGTTATTTTATTTTCAACGTTGGGAAATTCATATTACTTTTGAATGTTTACTATATTTTCAAATATAACAGCATAGAATTATATGACAGTACAGTGAAACGAGTAGTTGGTTGATGAGTGAAAGGTAAATAGTCGCAAGTATATATTACATTTTATAATGTTACTCAACTAAATGATCTTAATAGAATACACAATTTTTTCAACACTTAACTATTGTTATTTCTGATCACTTTTATTTTTGAAGCGATTCCTTTTGTTGCCTGAAGTAGGAAATGATCATTACCCTGAAGTAAATAATTCAAATGAACAAGTTGTAGAGCTGAAAAATGTCTGTTCACAATGGCAAAATGTAAGTGTGATTCTGGGAACTCAAAATTATATAAACCCACTATCAACCTTTTCTTATATAAAAAGATAATCAGAATGTGTTTTGTGGAGATTTTTAGAAATTTTTCACAGATTGAACTCATGAGTCAGTTGAAGCTAGACCACCGTCCAGTGCTTCCAGGTTTTCAATGGTGGTCTAGCTTCAACTGACTCATGAGTTCAATCTGTGAAAAAGATAAAAAGATAAGTTTTCTGTTATTATTTTGTAGTCCATCTGCAAAACACATCAACAAAAATTCTAATTCCTCACGGTGATTTTGTGCGTTTACTAATCATTCTTCAAGAAGATATTCTGTTCAAAAGGAATATCTAAAGACATGCTTTTGATCGGATGATGAAAACATTATCACACTTGTTTTTTAGTGCACTTGTGTGAGCTAGTTCTTGCCTTCTAATTACACATCTACCATAGTGTTGTGTTAATTTTATTGCATAGTTGCTTAGACAGGATTATTTCAGAAACCTTGAATTGATTTCTAGTGAGGTTAATTGTTTGTATCGTCAAGAAATAACATCAAGGTATCTTAGGAGATCTCCAAGTGGATTAATTTTGTTACCTTTCGTATACACCTTTTAATCTTTTACTTGCAAAAGAGCAAAAGTTGAACAGAGGGCTTGAAAGTTTTACGTGAATTCAGAAAATGTAGATGTTAAGATTATGAAGGTCTATATCAGCCGTAAAAGTTTGCGGTCTTATCAGTATTTCTCTAGTCGGTTGTATAATTTGTTGCTTGGAATCGGAAATGGAAATTGATATTTTGTAAACTGGTAAAAATGTAGTTAACGTAATAATGAACTATCCTCTATTCAAAAGATTATTAAGGAAATGCTAATTAAGGTTGTTACAGAATGATAAAAGACCATTTATATGTAACGGATTAGCTTTTTCTTCATTTTAAACATCTATTATTGACAGTTTCAAATAAGTTGAACATTGGGTAGAAAGTTAATAATGATACAATAATCATACTTTTGTGATACATCAATCAATAGAAATTTGTATTTCTGAAGTTTCATGGCTTACTGTAAGTCACTTATTCTGAGTAAATAAATTTAATTATCTATTAGTGATGTTTTCGAAATACAAATGAAAAGGTATCTAAAACACCATGTGATTCAAAAAACACAAATTCAGTAACCAGTTTGATATTGTATCAAATAATGACTACATTGGCCCTTATGTTTGACCAAATGCCATTCATATAACTCACACTTTGGGTGTTTATATCATCGGTTATTGTACTCAACTTCTGACCAGTAAATTAAAGGTTCATACCATACTTTGTCAACATTGGTTTTGGAAGTTATTTGGTATCACTAAACCCATCACTGGATCGAATATTTCACTATTAAAACACAGGAATCTGCACTTGATTGGGGATTTCCAGTGCTCTCCGTGATTCAGGCAGAATGAACAGGCCAAAATAATCAATTGGTGTGGATCAAAAATTTTTATGGGAATTAGGAAAGATAGGAAGTAAAAAACACTGGAGGCTTTCCTCCGAGCTATATACATGCTCTCTGATTCATGAACATTGATTCGACACAAGTAGTTTGTTACGTATCTTGAATCTACTTCGTCGTCAAGGGAAATTCGTATTGAATTCAAATAGTTTGATTTGTTGATTGCCCAAACAATATGTAGAGACAACCTTTGTAGAATCCGACATAGCTGTGCATCAATTTAGTATGCTATATTCCATAAAACGGTGGGCGAAACCTACTACAACAAACGTAGGTAAAACAATCACATTTTCTGATATACATCGATTGGAATTATAGAAAAATATTTCTAGGGCAAGCCAAATATATACAATGAGACATTTTTTGTGATTATAGTTCATCGATACTAGAGTGGTCTTCATGAAATTTACTACGACAGTTGGGACCCATAAGGACTCATATAAGTAAATTATTTTCGTTTGAATCGCTCAAAATTCCGAGGTCAACTGATTCGGTTAGTAGGACGCTGGGTAAAAACAATGAATTTCAGCCGACCTAATAGATAATTGGGTTTTTTTTCGAAATGTTATACTGTTAGGTCAATAGTTTGTTAATATAGGATGTAAATAATACAACTTTATCAAGACTTTAGTTTATGGTCACTCAATAGAGCAGTTGGGCCGAATTGCCCTTGGGTATAGTCTTCATTTGATTCTACTTTACTTTGTGTTGTTTTCTTCTTTTTAAAGAATCTAAAGCAAATTACATTGAACAGTATTAATTTTAAGGCTTGTGGTCGTGAGTTGATTGGTATCATTGGTTCTGTAGGTAGTGGAAAGGTGAGTGTTTAAACTTCTTTTGACTTAAATTATTATTATAATGAGTGAGATGACATACAAAGTCATTTTTATGTCATCCATGCATTACATTATTATTGTTTCATTGCTATTCTCTTACGACAAGTATGTTGCTTATTGATGCTGGTACTGATTGTGTTGTTTGAGAGATAAGAATGGTGTTTCCTAGCTCTTCCGTCTGTGATTGATGAGATAGGATGAAATTTATGACTTGGTTGTCAAAAACTGTGGATGAAGGGACTACAACAAACCACCTGATAGATTGGCGTTTAAATATTGAAGGACAATTGAATCTACTTTAGCTATCACATATGATTGCTGTGTACTCTATTGTTTGGATGTCGCTAAAAATTTGTCGAGATGTAGAAGTTTTAGTCATGTTTTTGTCATAAAATCAACTACCAGATTCTTATGGAATTCAATTCTTAGACAAAAACTGATCACTTTGTCACTCGAGATCATCGGAGGAAGATACAGACACATGTGGCTATTAATATTTAACCTGGTTGTCGAATAGTTTGATGACTATCTTGACTCAGTCTGGGACAGAACTCTGTGGCATTTCATGGATGTTGGTTGTGTGTTAATTTGAGCATCAACGTGTATGCAAGTGCATCAAAGTTGACGACTCATAAACGAGGAGAAAAAACTATGCTTGATGACACTACTAGCCATAGACCGAAACATTATAACCGTGCAACTTCAGACAACATCAAGGTATTCATTCAGAGAATATATATATATATATATATATATATATATATATATATATATATATAATGTCGCTATGTTTTACGACCATAAAGGAATATTTTATTTCCAAACTACCTTGTTACGGTTCGTTACATAAAGCTAACTAAAACAATGTAAAAAAGAGTTAGTTATTCTTAGCATCTCAGATATTATGGGAAATTTATTTATCATCTTAATTGGAACAAGAGTTCATAATTGATAAACTAACCTTGATTATTGGTTGTTTAACTTTACTTACAGTCTTCTCTCTTACAAACTATTTTGGGAGAGCTGCCATTCTCTAGTGGAAACATTTACAGGTCACCTAGTGTAGCTTATCTTCCACAAGCCGCCTGGATATTCCCTGGAACAATACGTCAAAACATCCTTTGTAATCTTCCTTTTGAGTCTGACCGGTATGCATTTGTACTGAAGGCAACTAGTTTAGATGTCGTAAGTTCACACAAAATTGAATTAATAACGTTTTCTATAAGTGTTTAGTTTTCTACAAAATAATTGATGGAAGTCCTCGCATGCAGAATTAGACTGAAATGATACATTGTATATACGATAATAGAGAAACGCAAATCAATTATTATAGAGTGAGGTCTGTAAATCTTATTAGTTGTCAATTAAAAGTGATATTTGAATTGAAACTAAATAAGGTTGTAGGAGATGTATGGAATATATTTTGGTCACTTCTCACCCCAACAACAGAAATTCGAATTAAACAAACTTGGGAGTTTCGTTTTTTAATTCAGTGGAAGATATCGTATCAGTATTTCATTGCAGAAAATATTGACAGAGCATTTTGATCCGAAAATTCCTATTTCGAAATATTTCATGAGTAATGGTGACAAGTATCCTTTTCCTAATAATGAGGAAACTATTTATGAATTCAAATAAATCTTTTTTCGCTGAATATGTTTAAAACAGTCCAATTGATAAACTTGGATAATTCAAAGAGAAAACGAAGTTCATCAGAACTGTGTTTGCCAATTTACTTGTGTTTACGGATACAGATATTTAATGAGGAGTAACAGGGATTTTCAAATGAAAGTAACTGAACAAATGGAACAATAAAAGAATAAATGGCATCAATGGCCCCGTTTTGGCGATTTCTTGGGTATCTGAAGATTTACCGTTCAGTTGACACATATATTGTGGCAAAACCTTATCTTAACTATCTTGTCATTTTATTTATTATTCGATTCCAGTGGTTTTTTCTCTTCGTTTTATCGTCTTGATAAAAAACATGTAGTAACTTGAGCTGATTCAGTATTTTATTATATTGTGTTTGTTTTCCATGAACTCTCCTCGGTGATTGATCTACTAAAATATCCAGCCTTCATGTTTACGATGGGAAGTGAATCTCTGAAGACAGAAGAAATACGCTACATGTGCAATCAACTGATACATTCAACAAAAGTTAGTAGTGAAGTAGTTGTACTTGGAACAGATGTTTGGTTTGTGTCATAAAAGTATTTTGTGAAGAGGTGACACGGCTGTCCGAAACGTATAGAATAAGGTGCTATGAAAACGGAAATTTCATACATAATTTTGACATTATGATCTGTATGCTGAATTTCAAATACCTCTGAATATCAAGCAACATTTCCTCTAATAAGCATTGTTTTTCATACAATACTCTTATTATTTATTTCATGCTTATAAGAATACATCTCTGCATATTTTTGTTTAGGACTTGCTGAGATTTCCCGAAGGAGACAAAACATATGTTGGAGAACGAGGTTCTGGTTTAAGTGGTGGTCAGAAGGCGCGCATAGCTTTGGCACGGACAGCATATTCTCGTCAGGAAGTCTTACTTTTAGATGACCCGCTCGCGGCGGTTGATGCTCGTGTATCCAATCACCTGTTTCAGAAATGCATATGTGGTTTTTTGTCAGATAGGCTTCGTTTTCTTGTTACTCATCAGCACCAGCTTCTACCTTATATGGACAGAATCCTAATTCTGAAAGAGGTATATTTTTGTAACTTATTTCGTTCAAAATGATGTTTATTCAGACTAATATCAAAGGGACTAATTGTTTTAATATCATTTAACTATGTATTTTGGCATAATAATTGCTTCAGATACATTTTGTGGGGAAAAGATTTAGTTTTATTTGTTGACAGTAAATCTGTAATCTAGTTTGTTAAAGGATTACAAATTATCTAACCTAGTTTAAAAGTATATCTTAGTTTTTAAAACAACTTTTAGTTTACATGAATTTAAGTACTTTCACACATAATGGTATCTGAGATGAATCTAGCTGTTTCTAATTGATGGAATGGTATTTTGAGGGGATTAAAATAATAATAATAATTACAGAATTCATGCCAGTTTAAAGGCATGATCAACTTGATATTGATAGTAACATTAAATGTAGAGAACAGATATGGGATATAAGACTTTTTTATGAGTTCCAATTAAAAAATTGTCTAGTTAGTACATTTTTCACATGTATTACATCAATGAAAGGCATCAACCGGGAACTTTTAATCTTTTTTAAGTTGACATCCTGTTGATATGTGAACGGTGCATTTAAGGTCATTTCCTGCGCCATAACGAATTGGTTAAAACCGTCTATAACTAGGGAAAATGAAACGGAAACAGAGAGCACGGAACAACCAAAACAATACTTACTACGATAGTTCAATCAGGTTTGCCGTAATATAGGTTATTTTGTGATCTGCATGTGTTAGTTATTATTCAAAATAGTTAAGGTTGCCAGGGATGGTGTAAGTGTAAAGTATCAGCAAGTAAGTAAGCCTACTTATTGGATCCAGCAGTAAAAATAATTAGACATTTAACATTCTTATAATCTCACTTGTGGAATGTCAAATACTTACAGGTGTAAGGACATTTAAGTCCTTTTCAGTGGAGAAGTAAGAATCAATACAGCGAACAAATGATGGAATTGATTTTATTTCACGAACAGATTGTGGTGAATTATTCCAGAATCTGGAAAATTAACTGGTAAAGCAGTTCATATGAATGCTATAACTAGGAGTTTCTGCATATTTAATTGTCTCATTGGATGTAAAGATAGTTCGTTAAGTATTTTGAAGATAAAGATTGGATTTAGTTTAAGTCTCCGTTTCCATAAAGGATTGCGTCCAAGTTTATTACATCTGGACTCATAATTTAGGGTACAATCAGTGCCGAGAATGCGAAGTGTGAATCGTCTCGGAATGAATTTCAGCTTTAATTTATCCCTTAAGTGAACACTACTAAAAATAGTCCCGAAATAGTCTAGGAGTGGTGGGACACATACTTTTTACATTAAAATACGTAACTCGTTGTTATAGTGATTAAGAATCATACAAACCAGAAGACGCTGAAAACTGAAGGTCTGTTTTTTTTAGATCTGTTCTGAGAAGGATAAGTTGTAGGAATACGTGCGTCCTAAATCAACTACTGTATGTAGCTTGAGTAGCGCCTTACCATTTATGGTAAGATCTAAGTTGAATGATGCATTACCGAAATACGTCCATCCATATGTAGCTGTGTTCAGCTCCAAGTGCCATTTTGAGCACTACTGTGCTACCTTGTTGAGCTCTATACTGATGTCATTTCGCACATTGTTCAGCTCATTAGGAGAAAGCGAATACACTACTTCAAGACCACCAATACAAAAGCAACTGCAAATATCACTGATATATTCGAAAAAGAGCGAAGAGCCTAAGACACTACTTTGTATTACACGAATTTTGACGGGGATAACATCCGACAAGAAGGAGTTTATTTGTAAGTCAATGTTTTGATGGTGATTATATGAAACCGGTATGATACAAAAGTTATCAATAAGTATGTAAACTAATTGTGCAATAAGATATTCGTCTTCTCAAGATTATCGATAATCGAGAGCAGTATAATCACTATAACATTTTCGACTAGACATTATTCTAGTTATAATACGATGCATATTCAATAAAATCGAGATATGCGTCGGACGGAGAATGTACTTCGAGTTTATATTTCTACAATCATTAGGTGAACAGTATATTTTAGATTCAGTAGGAATTATTGCAACTTACAAATATAACAATGGATTATGTGTCTTTTTGTCTATTTTTACTTCTGAATGCTTTTGATTCTCGTTAAAAGTAAAAGTGAAACTGGTCTTTTCCAGGGAGAAATTACATTTTTTGGAACGTATTCAGAGCTGCAAACAATGAAGTTACAAACAGATGGTTTTTTTTGTAATTCTTTTGATCATTCAAACGATTATGGGATATTCCGACTCTCAGACGGTGACAACAATGAAAAGGAAACCAACATTATATTTAATGGACTCCGTAGACAGTTATCAGAGACTTTTGCGAGTTTTAGATCTGACAAGCGGAGCAGTTATTATTCGACTTTACAGTCCCCAAGACAGTTGGAAGACTTGGTAACAGATGGAATGATATTTTCATCGTTTTCTTTAGTTCGTGAACATTATATAGATGATTATTCATTTGTAAATGAAAAATCCGTCCAAGGGTCTTTGATCTTGCCTAATGAGAAGAATGTAAGAGAACATTATTTTTTGTATAATTATTTGGATGCTAAATTTTCTATCTACAGCAAATCCACTGGTTATTTTTCGACTTATTGTCATGACTTCGTAACTTGATTCCCAGGTTTCAATGTAATGATATTTATTTCTATCATTTAACTATGAGACATAAACACTAAAATCAGATAACATGAAACGTATTACATGTAGAAACTAGTTGTGTCATTTTCTCATTAAATAAGTAATGTTAGCTTTAGGCCTACTTTTGAAGCAAGACGTTATTTTCTTACTAGGAATAAATTTCAATATGTTACAAACATAATTCTTAATTTAAGAGAACACCAGAAATCTTTAGTATTGATGAAAGGCCTTATTTTTCAAGATATTTTTCCAACTGTCTTAATTGTGTGCATTGGATATTCTTCTGCGTTGAGTCACTCATACTGTCTTAAACTAGTTTTTCAAAACATTTTGGTCATTTCATCGGTTATATCAACCGTCAATAGCACAGGATATAGGTTTGATAAAATTTATTCCGCTGTGGTTTATCCGGGACAATTTGTCTTTTGTGATAGATTTAGTTTAAAGGGATATATGATGAACGTAATTCACCTGTGAAGTTTATGAGCATAAGTTGCACAGTACAGAAGTCTATTGAGCATCGGCCTATTTATTTAATGAGACTATCTTTATCAATGATATAATCTAAGGGATCTAGATATTCTAACTACTACATTGCACAGATTATCAACAAACATTTGTATGACTGCATTGACTTAATCTTATGTTTGAATTCCAAGCTGAACATGATATAATGTCTCTGTGCTGACTTTTATACAAATATTTGTGATGTTGACTTAACTAATTGAGAAGTGATTCGAATGATGTAATATTGAACTAGATACTGGTTATAAATACTCGAACTATACTGTGAACTAGTTATTGTGTGAATAACAGTTACATAACTTATTGGTTCCAACTGAAATGGTAGAAGTGCCCAAACTGGAGTTTACATGTATAAGTAACTTGTTTAATTGACTTCGTATTAAGCCACCCCACCAAATGTGTTTTGCTGGGAAACATGAGTACTTTAGACAATAATAACTAGCATAAAGCTGTTTGAGTATCCATATTGCGCTTAGAATACAATTCATTTATTACAAACAATTTATATCCTTATTAATAGAGAGTAGTATATTCATTATCTCATTTTACTTCTGACTAAAGACTTTATAAATTTAACTCAATTATTTACCACTTAAGTATTAGCTATTTTTGCTTTTTCATTCTGTGTACTTTCTAAATGAATGTAAGACCTGTGCTAGTTAGACTCATGTCTGTCTAACCATATTTCATTCACACTAACATATTCACTACTCATATTAAAGTAATGAGTAAGGCTGAACTACTAATCTTTCGTTAAAATTGTCGTTGGATTTAGAAATACTGGATAGTTTTATTATGGGATCCAAATGTTTAGTTTCGTTGGTTGTTTGGTCGCCTTTAATTTAGTTATGCGTTAGTTACCCATATTAGTCATGACATATCTGAATCTGTTGTAAATAAATCTAAGTTCTATTTTTCTCTTTGAGATTTAACGATTCTGTTTTTCGATACTCACTCAGTGGGCACTAGAGGTTTGACCTCATTAGCAGCTGGATGCTTGATCATTTCAATCAAACGACCATCTCATTAATGTGCCTTCATAGACTTTCAGAACTAATAAATTCATCATGAATAAATATTTTTAAAAATACATATTAGTTTCTAACACGTTTTTGGATTATGTTTTTGTAGAGTAGTATCAGAACAATAACTACCACAGGGTCTTACGAATCTATACAAACAATCAAGTCAAGCGTGTTTGATATTTATGTTGTTGGTGATGCAGAACGAAATAACAAAACAATTGGTAATGGGAATATTCCAGAACATCATCTAAGTAAAGAACCTACTCCAGGTGAAAATCTTAGAAATGGAAAGGTTGGATGGAAATATTACTTAGTTTTTGGTCGAATAACTGGAAGTTTTCGCTACTTGATAATTACTCTTTTGATGTTTGTTTTTACAACTGTTGTTTATGCAACATTCGATTTATGGATAGCAAGATGGTAAATTTAATATGGTCTACATAGTTTTTCGTTCGTTTTTTTTTGTATATTTCATTCTTGAAAATGTATTTCAATAGATTTAGGAGCTTTCTTTCACTTATTGATCGTGCCTTCATGTATACAAAAATCTGTAAAGTGGAAATTGTCGTGTTTGCTTTTTGATTTTTTTGCCTTATGTACATGATCTATCACAGACCAAGAGATTGATCGCTACTGCATGTCCATCTTCGAATTGTTATGAGGACTACTTCAGTTTGAATATAGTTTTCGCTATAGAACATTGTCAGTTTTTATCCTGAATGTCATAGGTTCAATTTATGGTTGAGTCATCGGTATAAAACCGGCACAAAGAGGCTGCTTATTACTCTGTGGTTTTGAATGGTCCTTTAACTGATGCCGATACATAACCAAAACCACCTACGACATCTGAATTTACTGGAAGTTAAGTGTTCTCTGTGAGACTACTGGTTCTGTATTTGGTTCCGATGGTAACCTGGGTGCGCACTATTGACAAGTCTCATATCAGGGCTTCCTGATTTCCAGCAGTTCACTAACTTGGATCAGCACGTGATATAAAACTACGAAAATTCAACAATGTCTACAAGCCGCCTATTCATGTTCACTAGTTCATGACTGTGAAGTCATAAGTAGGTTTTCCAATCTTGATATAACTGATTTTTGAATTGTTTTGATTTTTCTTATGATTTTACTTTCTACTTCTCTTATAAATAGGATTCGTATTGTGGATAATCGTAACGAAACGAACAGCCCACTTGCTAATGACTCATCACATGTTATAGGAACGTGGAACTGGGATGATAATTATATAAATATGTACATAATTATAATCCTTACCATACTGCTAGTGTTTTTTAGTACAGCACGTACGCTGCTATTTTTCAAAGTAAGCAATGTTATTCAATCAATTTATTGCAAACTTAATAGTCAATTGATTATGCGGAATTACTGTGTAAGCTACCAAGTCAGTGATCGCTGAACCTAAACACTGTTTCATAAAAATTTTGATAGGAGTTATAAAGCTTACTCATTGTCACTTCACCTTTCAATTTATCAAAGCTGGTTATGCGTAAAAGATTAAAACATTAATATTATAGGAGAAAATGAATGTTGGCTAGCAGTGGAATCCAGGACCCATGTTTCGCTCCATTCAGGAATCGTCAGCTGCGTGTGTCTGCATCCCAGAGTTCTTTTCAGGACTCGAACTCCGTATCGTTCTCTCCAAACGCCATTGCGTTACCCACTTAGCTAACGAGTCCTGATAGCCGCTAGCTCGTGCAATGGGCAGAAGTTTTAGATTTGTTTTGTACTGTTGTTTGAATCTTCTCATTGATGTTTAGGACTGCACAGGATGCACATATGCCAATAAGAGACTGATCAATTGCAGACCTAAACATCAATGGGAAGATCCGAACAAACAATACAAAACGAATTAATATTATAAGTTACAAATTGATTTACTAGGGGAATAAAAATTATCATGTGTATTTATTGACTGACTTTGAACTAAGGAGTGAACGACTGTGTCAATAAGACTTTTAGCCCTTCATTTTATTCCTGAGGGTGGAATATGTGGAAACATTAACTAAGATGACACTCAATGTACACGAAAAGTGACTATTGTCTTAATAACTTCATAGAAATATTGTCTGATACAGTGACATTTACTACAATCAGTTAGAGAACGAATGAGATGTTAAGGTTCTTAATATTCCTACAGATACTTCATTAAAGTCACACTGGGACTAACAAGTCTCTAATCAGCTTACTACTAATATACTATTTGACTCAAGACATGTAAATATTTTGTTGCTCTCTGTAGCGCTAATATTCATGTGAGATAATATTACAGTTGATTGTCATCAATCTGTGTGGTCATGGTGCCTAGTTCACAAGCATACATTACTACTATCGTTAGTTTTCTAACCAGGTGAATTTCTCATGCTTTCGTTGATTATAAGAATTTTTATTTTTGTTCTGATAGCAAATGACTTGTGTTGCGGAACGTTTGCACGAATTAATGGTCAAAGCCTGTCTTTCAACTAGAATACTGTTTTTCGAATCAAATTTATCAGGTTAGAAAGTTACCTTTTATTCAATGTAAATAGCTTTGATTTAAAAAAAATCACGTTACAGTATAGACCTATGTTGTTTGTGATTATGATTTTGTCAATAGAACGTCATTTTATTCACCAAATATCAGTTTATTAAAACGATGTATAATTAAACTATTAACAGGTTGTTAGACTAAAAATTTTCTGGAAACTATAGTACGGTTCACATCTTTTGACAAGACACTATGATCATAATATTTACTTATTTGATGGACGGTGATTTACGATTTCTTTTAAAAATGCTGAATCGTTAAAAAAGACCATAAATTAGATAGTTCCAAGCGGTACTATTCTAGTAGTGATGAGACTGATCATAATGATACTTTAGAAAGTTTAGAAATAATATGATTGAAACGAGGCATGTTTATTCTGATATTGACTCTAATTTGTTTAAAAAACTGAATGTAAATCTATTCACTTTTGTTTTGTAATTAAAAGTGGCTCAAGTTTACTAAATCTTGCTAAGAAGAAACAGTACTTCCAATTTAGAATGCTATTTTTAATCCACTGTTTATCTTTCCATTAAAAAACTCAGGTAAAATACTAAACAGATTTTCCAAAGACATTGGAATTATAGATGATCTGCTGCCAACAAACACATTCGAGTTTTTACATGTAAGATGGAACCAGTGATTTAAAATTGTATTTAATTGTCATTTCCTGTGGTTTTATGCACTTTTTCAAAGTCATTTAACGTTCTGTAACTGATTTATTGGAGCCTATTATTAATATGGGTATATGTCATTCATAATAGAAATATCTTACGACTAAACTTGTATTTGATGTCATCATCCATGCTTTTGAAGATAATTCGTAAACTTGTTGAATGTCCAAGCTAAGCAAATAAATTGCAGATGTGCGCCGAAAATATTTGAACTATGAAGTTGTTATGAAGGCAACCTGCCTTTGTCATAATGGCAAACAGATGAATACTTATATTAGGAGATAAACTTATTTTGAACCATTATACGAAACTACTGATTCAAATGCGTTTAGCCTCACTGAATTTTCTTACACAGGACAGTCTTATTCTTTGCTATTTGTTTAAAAGATTCATGTTGGATTACCAGATACGAAGAGGATATCGCATTGGTTGTCCGAGTGGGCTAAGTGAGGTTATTCGAATGACCACTCCAGGGTTCGGACGCATCATGCATTGATGGGATGAGATTATAGTGATTTATACAGTGAGGAACCTGTAAAGGGAACTGAACTTATAATGCTCTTGGCAACTGGAGAGCATAAACTCATTACCAAAAGATAGCTCCTTGAAATCGGTTATGCATGAAATTTTTTGGTGTTGTTTAAAAGTCTTAGCTCCAGAGTCTCAATACCTCACTGATGGTGAAATAAATCTGTGGGACGAAATGAAATGTACTACTCCTATGACAAACCCTTCCAAACTCATTCCATTATGGGAAAACAGGATCACTAGGGGTGCTGGCTATCTGAACGAAACACTTTACTACCACCACGCCCCTGCACAACTCAAAGTACCACCTCGCCCTTGGGCTGTTGATCTTCTGCTTTCAGTCACTCTTCTCTTCTTGCCAGTGATGATTGAACCTGAATAAATGAGCGTTCCAGACAATAGAATTCCACTGGGTCATCACGATATATGACCCAAATAATCACGTAAAGATGTTAGCTGAAAATTAGCGAAATCTTGAATATTCAAATATAGTAATCAGTGTTATAAAGTTATTCATTCGGTAGAATGTACCATAAGTTCTGTATTGACCCTGAGAAGTTGAGGCTATTTACAACTGTTAATCCGTAATTCACGGAAGACTGCCACAACTAGTTTTATAAGTATTGTTTTCTTAATACTCATATCTCTAGTTTTGTTACTCTTCCCACTATACAGTAGATCTTCATAATCAGTCCACAGTTCGAGAGAATTTTTTAGCTGTCACTTCAGATCTTTTTAAATTACGTTTAATATGTAGTCGGTTTTCTCATAATCATGTGAATTATCTTATGTGTTGTTTCAGGATGCCTGTGAGTAGAAGAAAAACCTACTGTATTCACAGAAGTTTAATAAAAACTATTTACACTATACATCATTTTATTCAAAGTGACATTTAGTTAACTACAGAATGTATCATATTATCCCTGACATGTTTTAGAAAATTGGTTGCTCATTGAAATTATTATGAAGATGAGTTTTCTTTGTTAACAAAAATGCATTTTTTTTATTTTACTAGTGTTTATCCCTTGTAGTGACTTTTTGTGCTGTTACAGTGATTTCTAGTTACTGGGCAATTTTCCCAGCTATAATTCTTTCTATTTTGTTTTGGGTAATTCGTGGAAGATATATGTGTTTATCCAGAGAGTTGAGGAGACTTGAAGCAATTGGTAAGAATGCAGTGATTGTATTTCACGAGCGATTGTAAATTACTTTCTAGTCAAGCATTTATAAGTGACTTACTGTTAATTTATGTCCATTGTATTTGCAAATTGTTAAATCTTTCTCGTATTTTAATATATCCAACAATTTTGCTAGATACATAGAGGCAACACTTTAGATTTCCTACTACCCGAATCGTGTTTCTGGTTAGTTTGTTGCACACAATAAAATACTGAATTGTATTAGAAAGCCTCTATTGCAACCACTGTCCGTTGTAGACAGTTTTAGGTCAGGAATTTCTCCTTGCTGCTACCGGACCACAAACTTATTGAATATAAGGCTGGTTTACATCATACTTTCCGATTACTTTCTTAACATTGGTTCTAATTTTTATGGTGTTGTTCAGACAAGCAAAGTTCTGGAAATGCTTTAGTTGTTTATCTCTTATGTATTGTATATTTTTGAAGGAATGATGGAATAATTTAATGAGGGAAAGTCATGTAGGATTTGGCTAGGTAAATACTTTTAATACGAACAACCTTGTAATGATTAAAAACCTAGTTGCTGTCTGGTCGTTTTACAAATTCACATTTTTTACTTTTATATTTAGTATTATCTTTGAGTTTAGGCCATTTTGAATCAACAACATTCAAAATTCTATTGGACGAATGGGTCATTCACCATACTTTATCTAAACATTATTGTTTTTTAATTGTAAGAAATGGCTATGAACTATTGAAAGTCTATTGTTAACACAAATAAACGTCTATAAAACTCATCTGTGTAGCATTTGTTGTATTACATATAAGTTTGTTTGTTGTTTGAAGTTTGTTCGATAGTCCAATTTCAAAATAATTAAACGTTTGTCTTACAGATAATGTCCCTCTGAATTTAGTTGAGATTTACATATATGTAAAATACTACAGACCGTGCAAACATTGAAAATTAGCACACAAATCATAATCGCCATCATAATTTAATTATTCCATTGTTTTACAACTTTAAAGGTTAGTTTATCAGTAACGAAACTTATTCTAAGTTGACAAGTTACAAAAAGTGGAAATTAGCTTGGAAGAAATTAATGAACTGCTTTTTTTCATCATTTCAAAAAGAATCAAGAAAAGTTTGGATTCATTCAACTTAACTGAACTTAATTCAACTTAGTTGATAACAATAAGACTGCAAACATCTTGGTCTTAATATTACCTATAGTCAAAAGAATAATTTCACGTAAACAGTTACAAAAATGTTATTCAACAACTTTTTCTTACAATATTCCCTGAGATAAATTCCAGAAGTTTGACTAGTTATTAAATATTTTCCAACTTGAAGAAAAACATGTTTTGTACAAAAAATACCACGAATCTCTAATTGTTTTTAAAATACTTTTATTTTGTTTTATTCAGCACGTACTCCAGTACTTTCTTGGATAAATATTACTTTACAAGGTTTACCGTGTATAAGAGCCTCTGGAGATCAATCATTCCATTTAAATAAATTTTATGATGTAGTAAACAGTCATACGGATGTCTTCTATATGAATTTAGCTGCAGCACTTTGGTTTGGTATACGTTTGGATCTTTCATGTGTAATATTTATAACTTGTGTTTCGGCTATATGCTTAATATTAGGAATATATTCAGGTAAGTATATTTATATATTATAATTCTGCTTTCATACTGTTTTTTCAGATTACTTAATATATATGGTAACTTCAAGTGCTTAGTTTGAATGTTCAGTGGTTTTGAACATATTTTATCAGAATTGATAATCATACAGATGATGTTATTCTATATAAGTTGATCAATGAATGGTAACCACTTACATATACCACCGCTTAAAACCATAGTTGTTCAGACCTTCATTTTAAATGTGCAAAGTAAATTTTCAAGTTTGTTGTTTCAAAACGAACTAATAGTACTATTTTAATTATTTTCCTGCATCACAGAAATACCAGGAGCTAATGTAGGTTTGATGTTCACTTATTCCAGTAGCTTGATAGGATTGTTCCAGTGGTGTGTACGACAGAGTACTGAAGTTGAAAATCAAGTGAGTGAATGAATTGCACAATTTTAAGGTAGTTTTCCATAATCATACTTTTAATCACTGCTTGTAAATGTTTGTTTACTATAATCAAGTATTATCTCGAAAACAATATCAGTTTGAACTTATGCCTGTTGCTCATTTCAAAATGATAAAGAGAACTATGTGTATGAAATTATACCTTTGTTCAATAATTGGATAAAATAGTCTCTCGTTTTAATTGCTTATGACTTTGGTCAATAAGTTCTGAGTGCCATAATTAGGTTTACAGTACTCTCTGGTTTAAAATGAGTACTTGATTGATACCATGTTTTTGTTTAGTCTCAATGACGGTACTCTTCATTGATAGAATTATGTGGATTCTATTAGACATTTCGTTTGGCGACCTGATATTTATTAGGGGAAAGTTGTCTGCTTGAGGTAGCTAATGTCAAATTACTATTTAAATCAGTCAGTAGCATCTGTTTTGGATATGACAATACATTGTTTCACAAATTATGTGTTGTATGTGATTTTTACTGAAAAACCTTTTGACATCAACATTGAATTGCTGAATGACTGGTAAAAGGTGTGATTTGCTAAATTAAGTTGACAGCAATTCACATTTCCGTAGGAAATTAAAACCGGCTACTTATGTCAAACCTAGTTGTAATCTAAGTTTCTTACAATATTATTTTTTGTTCTCATACAGTTTTCTTATGTTACAGGATTCCATACTAGAATGTGACTGTCTGATTCACACGTTTTAGTGATATTATTTTAATTTTAAAACTTTCAGATGGTATCTGTAGAACGTGCTATTGAATATGTAGAACTGGAACCGGAAACAACTGACGCACAAGAAACACTACAGCCAGATTCTGATTGGCCATCACGAGGACATATTCAATTTAAAGACTTTGGTCTGCGTTATGCTTCATCCGATACATGGGCGTTGAAAAATATAAATTTAGACATAAGACCTGGATGTAAGGTAATGGATTTCTGGGTATTTTAGCTTCATGATAGGATTTTCGACTCTGTAATGTAATATCCAACCTTTAATATTACAGTTTGAATTTGAAGCGTATTTTATTGAGAAAAAATTTTCAGGTGTAGGATCTAGTTTTATTATAAGCATTACTTCTCAATTTTCAACTTCTTATTTACCTCCTGATGATGGTTCGCTTGGTTTACAGGTTTTATTAAGTACACCGTATCTTTCTAATTACAATACTGTGTTTGGTAGTCTGTGAGATGTATAATGTCATCACATCAGTATAAGAATACGAATTACTATTAATTATTCCCGACATTAAAAAGAATGTTAGAAACTTTATTTCTGAAATTGTTCAAATTCCATGAACATTTAGAGACAATCTAGTACTCCCAACCAAGCACATTTGACTTTGTATATAATTTTAACTGAAATACTGATATATTTATCAGTTTTTCGAAGTGGATTCTATAAAACATATGTGATTACTTAAGTTTGTTTATTTCGCTTGATTATGCTACAAATTTTTATTCAAGGATCCTTTAGAATTAATCTTCAATCATTTTGAAACTGTATAGTACCAATGTAATTTGCCTTCAGCAATCTTCACAATACAACAAAGTCTTTTCATAAAAGCCCAGAAAAATATAATGGAGAACAGTAAAGAATAATGGGTAATATTCAAGAATTAACAAGTCGTATCAGTAAATGTCCAGAAATGCCAAAAGCATGTAGTAAGTCAATAAAGCATGAGAAAACCATAAGAGATTAGACGGGAAACTTAGACCAAGGCAAATGACGTTTAACACTGAGTATCTGAGACCACTCATCACAAGTGTGGTGAATCCAAATAAATTTTATTTGACTTCAGTGATTATTTCACATTATTGAAATAATCTTACTTTATTACGTTCCGACTGTACGACGTAACTTATTTTAAGTGTTAGATGCTTGTAGATTGCTCGTTAACTACAAAGTTTACTCCATACGTATAGAATATGGCCTGCGAATGTAGAAGACATGCTTAGAGTATCATCTTTTGATCATAGGTATCTTTAAAGCATAAAACGATAACCATGGACCGACCAAGTGAATAATGATGAAGTCAAGTAAAGATGGCAAATCGGTTGGTGTAGTGATGAATCTTCGTGGACTGGAGTGTCTATAAAATGCTTTATGCATGCTCAACCACTGCCTGTCTAGATATGTAGTGGCGGTTGGTGTAGGTTTGAAGAAAGCTAGAGATGGCTGAATCATGATATGGTTTCAGTTAATGTAGTAATTGACTGACTGAAGTGTGTTGGTACATAAGGACTTTTTGATTTTGGTTGGAGTGATAAACACGATCAGTGGTTGGAGACTTTTTGTGATAGTCTGTACGCTGTTTATGACTGACCGACTTACCTAGATACGTGTGCATAGGCTATACCATAAGGTTTATCGTGAACGAATACTCTATGTGACAATAATTAAAAAAGATAAATTCGTTGTAAAACTGCTGAAACCGATATGATGTGTAAAGCATACTGAATATTCTAGAAATACGTACAGTGGTTTTATTTTAGAAAGAGTGAATTGATCATCAGTCCTACAGTAGATGATAAGAAATATTTTTAACTGAGAATAATGATTTCAGAGATGTATTTCACTGAGCTGGTTGGCTTGTTCGTGAAGCTTTCATTACTTTTCTCAGCCAGATCATCAACATACACTTCAGCAAAAACTGAGTCATCAGAATTTCTTTACAATTGACTAGTAGCTTGTTTTGTTGACCGAGAACTTGCTTGGTAGTTGTTCATTTCTGTGTGGCCGTTGTTTGCGCATTTGTTTTGACCGTTTTCACCATGACTCTGCCAGAGGCTAATGTTATCGAGAATAAATGAGAGCTTCACGATCAAAACATTGCACTCAGAGAAAAAAGCACCTTCAAAAAGTTCTCTAGAACTTGATTATAGTTTAACAGCCAGAGTTTGGGATATTTTGTATGGTGTTTAATACTCTAAGCTTGTTTTTCTTATTGTCTGTTTATGTTAACTTACGTTTACTATTCATTGCACCATCATAATACCGTCAGGTAGTCTTAATTAATCAACCATGGAAACCAGGAAGCATTGAACAGCTACTTCGTCGTAGTTTGGGACTCCTCAGCAGTGCTCATCAGGGACCCTACCAACAGGGATCGTGCACTCAATTTTCAGATTACTGAGCAGGAATATTATAGCGTAGATGTTGAACTTCACTTAATTTTTAATATTGAGCAACTACTTGTTTCTGATGATTTTTTTATCTAAGAACAGTTCATGATGTTAACTATGAAATTCAGAAAGATCTCCATGAGCCTGGTGCTGTAATATTCATTTCTATTTAGTTGAAATTCATGTTAAATAACACACATACTCATATCTCACTCTACATTGCTGATAAATACCGAATAGCGAGATACCTAGGTTCAGGGTTTTGTTGACCACAGACAACCGCCTAAAATCTCAATCAGATTAGATATAGATGCGATTTGAATTGATAACTTAATTCACACAGACGTGTAGCCACAGGTATATTAGTCGATAACATTCTATCAGCGCTGTAAGACTAGACGAAAGTAGTATTGTTCACTACTACGTTATCAATCAGTTTTAAGTCCATATGATCTTCACTCGCCATAGTCTGTAATTGTATTACTCCTTGTGATTTCAGGCAGTTGCAGCTGATGAGAAGCAAATTAAGTCCACTTTGTGTTGCAGTCATTGTTGTTCTTGACGTTTCAATAACATTAGCGTTGAGAATAAAAAATACCGTACTGGGAACTGTTTATGGAAATTCATTTCGTAAACTACATCTTCGATTTTGCAATATCTTTTATTAGGTGGGTATAGTGGGACGAACTGGTGCTGGAAAAAGTTCCATAATTTCTGCTCTATTTCGACTTGTTGAAGGCGAGCAAGGATGTATACTAATAGATGGAGTGGATATCAAACGTTTACAACTGGATTACCTGCGAAAAAGGATAGCAGTAATTTCTCAAGTAAGGGAATATTATTAAAAGTAGATAATTGCTTTATGTAGAGGAAGCTTTCAGTTAGTTTTATTAGACCAATTCCCAATAAGAAAATCAACACCCCAATCTTGTTTCCACCATGTTCTGCGTTCCATCACACTGAAATGTTTAGATTACAGCTTTTGATTCTTCTAGTTGCCATTTCATTTATGAGTCATTAAATTGGACTTTGATGAGTAGAATATGAAGTATTTCCGAACCATATACCTTATTTAAATTACTTTCCTCTGTCAGTATCGGAAGTCATGACTTATAAAACAAGAAAGAAACCATATTGTTAACAAACGCTGGTATAAATATGGAAGATTAGTTAGGCGAGGTCATTGAATTCGGAAATGATGTCCAATAAAGCAAGAATTGAAAAAAAACTGCGCAAAATATTATTCGACCTTGATAGATCACGACATAATCGAAGCGAACACAATAACATGAACTAATTTTCCTATCATGGTATCAATATCAATTACTTACAGTATGTTACATGATTTTTATAATTCAGGAGAATGCGGATGTATGTCAGTCCACTGAGACTGGTAGTTAGTCGGAAGGTGAAGTAAGCTAAGACGTGAATATTATCGTAAGAATGAGGTATTCGTGTGTTTGTTATTTCTATTTTTCTACCGATGGATTTACTGTAATAATAAACTTGTTTTCCTATTGGTAGATGCTCGAATCTTATAAATGGTTAATTAGAGAATACTCACGCCCTCTCAACTAAATGTTTATGAATCATTATTCGAATAAATAACTCCCTAAGGCTGTGATTAATTCCAACTTAATCGACATTCAGAAGGACGTTATAGAAAAAGCACGGGAGTTTTAATAAGATCTGTTTCCGTGATCTCGGGTAACTCTTTTGTGGCATATAGAGAATTAAATCTCTGCTAATACCATAAGTCCACCCATATGTATGAGATATGTTGCTGATTCATTTATAATAATGAAGTCAATGAACCTGAGAGCCTCGTTCAAACTCACAAAAACATTATCCGTTCATATCAAATTCACTTTCAAAAATGAAAATAACCAACCGGTTACTACAGCTAATTCGCATAAACAACGAAATCCCACTTACATCAGCACAAAAATGTGTCAACAGAGCAGGGTTATGTCAATTGCGTTAAACTTTATATTGTGGGGTCTTCTCGTGAAATTGTAGTGGCTTTACTTCGTTACTCAATCACCCTTGAAACCGTTATTACATAAATTTCAACGGCGTTTCAAATCAGAAGGCAATAACAAGCGGCAACTACAGTTTTTTCAGCCGACAGGGAAGAAGATCACATTGCCATAAGCACATTCAGCGAATTCGAAGCATGGAGGCCAATATGCATGTACGAGCCAATTCATAGGCAAATTAATTTACAGCCAGATCATATTAGGGCACAGCAAGTCAAGGCAAAGTTTAACAATAGGATTTGAGCACATATATACATGGGTAGCAGGATGAATCATCGAGTGATATTTAAGCGATCAACATTCTAGCAAGTGTCTGTCATGTGATGATCTAGTGATCCTAACAGAACGAAGAAATATGTGAATTGTTACTGTTCAAATAACATTGTCTGTTAAATAAGTTAATAAAAGGCCTTAACCAAAATTAACCATAATCGAAATTGGTTGTAGGATAGTTGCTATAATACCTTAACTCGTAATAAAGAATAAACATGGTACACAAAAGATCGGGATAGTCTCGCTAGTGTTGGATTTTCGAATCGAGTGAGTAGTAGTAAAATATTCAATATTCATTAACCATGACGCGGATAACCTAACGTTACCATGATCAGATCTGTTTGTATGTTCTCGCTATTTGCGCTGTTTTAAGTTGTGTCAATTTAAAAACAGCTAATTATTCCGCGAAAATGCAACTCACGTTTTATCCTATAGAGCATAATGAAAAAAATTATTGCAAGCGTATTTGTAAGGCCCATATTTTTTGTCCTAACTGGTTGGCTGAATATGAAGCTCGGAGGCTTCACAAATCAGATTAATACACACCTACATAAATGGTTCTGGTGTGAAGAATTTAGTCAGATATAGGTCAGTTTATATGTTCATTTGAAAACCACGTTCTTTAGTCTTTTATCTCTAATTTATTGATTACACTGATTTCCATTGTTTGTTTAAAATGTCCATGACTTCTTAAAGAAGCTTCCTAACTCTGCTAGCTGATTTAGTCAGTCTTTTTCAAAAGAGTTTAATACTTACCAGTCATAAAAACATACAACTTTGCTAGAAATTTTTTTTCACTCTTCGAAGATTCTGACTCTGACACTTCCAATTGTGAACTATCTATCTAAGTACCGAAAGACTTGTATCCACAATGTGACAGTGACCCCAGTTCTAGTGGGTCTAAGTGTCTACCCAATGTTGGTAGAGTGCATTGAAGATTTTTTTTACAGTATTTTAATTTTATTCTGAGTCTACTGATAAAAAAATATTTATAGATTTTCTAGTAAATATTTTAACAAATTAGGATCCAATCATGTTCACTGGAACGGTTCGAATGAACATGGACCCTTTAGGTGAGAAAACAGATGAAGCGATTTGGAAGGCCTTAGAAAGTGTAAGTCTTATTGCAATAAGTTTATACAGAACTGCTTATTTTTTCTGTAAACTATTTCATCACTTATTTTTGGTGTTTAGTTCTGCGTCAAGTCCATATGAGTTATTCTAGCTTCCGGACAGACATTTATGTATTAATCTTGCTCCGCACTTTGACCTTGTCAGTTATTCGCTTATAACCTTGACTATTTTTATATGAGTGTATGTGTCTCTATCCCTCACCCTTCTCATGACATTTCTCTAGCTTGTTTTTATCTGGCTATAAATATTAAGTCACTCTTGATCAAATCGACTTGGCATGTTTGCCTTCTCCGCTTCGTTTCTCTAATTATCTGTCTAGATCAACGAGTGTATGAAATGTGTGTAACCGAAATTCATTCTCGTATATGACATATTTCATCCTGTTATTCTATAACACAAATCAAGTCGACAATTATGTACGAGGGTTGGTGGCATGTATATTTCGTTAGCACTATCATACAACTAAACCGGTGTCATATCAACGGGCCACAAAACACTAATGTCTTGCAAGATGAGAATTAATATTATCTGAAAAGTCATAGTTGATCAGAATGATAGGTTAGTGTTATTTGATCATTGTCGGATTTTACGCTTCTTAACATTATGCTTTGCTAGATCTTTAAAGTATATCCCTCAGTTTGCATTTTTATGCCTACTGTATTGTTATGGCTTTTAACCGTGTGATTATTATTTCAAGAAACATTTGACTCCTTTTTATCTTGGCCAAGCATGTTTTCACGTCTTTGTCAGATTTCGACATCGCTTAGACCTAACATGATTCTTACTGTGAGTTTGTTAACATGATTACTTCACTGTTTTTTTTTTGTAACGTTTAATCTTTTTGTCAGTTGGTTTATCCTACCGATAACAATTCTAATATATAAAAGTACTGACTTTTTAGATGACTTAACCACACAAAAATGGAATCAAATAAACGTATTCCACAAAGTTTATTGTTCATGCTGAACAATATCATATGTGAGAGTTGAAATTTACATAATTCCGATCAATTATTTAGATGTTTTATTACCCCAGTCGCATGGTAAGAAAGTATTTAGATAACCGTGAACAGCTATTAATTTATTGGAGACCGAATAATTTAATCTGAACTGTAGTCCAATATGTTTTCATGATGTGATGTATGTAGACTAGTATTTTCCGTTAAATGTAGTAGCATATGACTTTATAAATAAAGGAAAAATGACTTGTTATGCTGATTAACTGAATGTTTTCAAAAGGAATACGCGGATTGATTGAATCGAATTGGGCTCAAAAATACTCTTCGACGTATGAACATACGGTTGAGTTACTGACTTCAGTAGTTCTTGAAGCGTTACTACTAATTCAATCAGATGCGTTTAAAATCTCAGCCAAGGACGGAAGTCTTTCAAACTTTCCTCAATACTTATCATTGGCATTAGAAAGCTTTGTTTTGCTTGTTTTTTTCCGTTACCGAATTCTTTTCTTCACTCTAAACATCTGATCTCAAACTCATATTTTGATTTTTTAATTACTTGAGTTGCTGGCGGAAGGAGCGATTTCCTCATCTCTGTTTACAAATTATTACTAATATGAAGTTTATGCTGTCCATTCTCAAGTTTCCCGTAGGTTACAAATTTTTTTATAGTTCGCTTAGTCGAAAAGTATGTTTTAGTACCTCCGAACTATACCTGAATAGTTGAGTAAATAATATCTTTAGAAGTACTGTCACTAAAACAACTCATGATTTTTTATCTTTATCTCCATAAGAATCGAGATGTACTAGTAAGTGGAAAAAATAACCAAAGACACAGTCACTCATTGAATTTCTGTTGAACTGTTTCCTTTAAGTAAATCTGAAGCCTTCTTCACAACACATAATGCTTAAAACCGAAAGAAAACGCATACCAATAACTATATAAAACAAACAGATCACAACGTCTTTTAAGAAAACAATACTGAGTTAAGGTCTGGATTAAACAGTTCTTGAAATTCAAAAATTTGATTTCTGATGCCTCATAGGTAACAAATATTTTGTTTAGCTAACGTCTACGATTATCAATTTATTTATGAACCTAATCGTCTAGATGGTTTAGCCTATTCTCATTGATCCCAATATTTTACATATGCAGTGGTTTTTAACTTGGAAAAACTTACTGTCCACTTTTATTCTAGAAGTATTTGCCATCAAGTTAATACTAATCTAACAGTGTAAAACAAATTATCAAATAAAACTGCTCCGAACATTCATAACACGTTCTATAAATTGAGATGGAAGTCAATTTTGGTTGTTGAGGTTTTATAGAGATTATTTTAACTTGTATGTGATATTTGTCAGTGGTACAGGTACGCGAACACCGTGTATCTTGCATATTCCGTAAGGTTATATATTCTTGAGGAGTGCAATACTAGATGAATCAACTGTCCAGTCCTTCCTAGTACTCAACAAATAGTCAAGTTAGATGGCTTCGTGACGAGAATGTACTTTTTTTCCATGAAAGTTGCGGTATGGTATTATATTATGTAAATAGTTGAACAATAAGTCTCATGCTTCATTAGATTTCATCTTTTTAGGAAGTTGCTCCATATCTGTAATCATATTTTATTGCCTACAGATACAGCTGGACAAGACAGTTAAAAATCTCGGTAATGGGTTAGATTCACTAATCAATGAAGGCGGTTCTAACTTAAGTATTGGACAGAGACAATTGTTTGCATTATCTCGAGCAATTCTAAGTGGAAGCCGCATATTGGTGGTAGATGAAGCAACATCCAACGTTGATCCCAGGTAAATGTTATATAAATTAAAGTCGTACTATAATTTTTAGTGTTTTGTTTGGACGTTATATCATTTTGTTTCAAATTTGTTGTTTCAGTACTGATTTCATCATTCAGAAAACTCTCAGGAGCATTTTCAAAGACGTTACAGTTTTAACTGTTGCACATAGACTACATACTGTCATAGATAATGAAATTGTAGTGGTTATGGAGAGTGGCGAAGTAATAGAATCCGGTCATCCGCATGTACTTCTTAATCCCGATCTTGCTGAGACTGATAAAAGAATTACAACGTGGATGAAAATCACTTCTCAACTACTGATGATATTCAAATAAGTGGTAATGGTCCACTAGCAAAATTAGTAAAGCAATATGGGGGTAATGAGTCCAGAAATTTAGCTCAGATAGCACGAAAATCATTTATCGAGATGCTGGGAAATGAAGACGCTATTCTTTAATTACCTTACCTCCTTTGTAATTGTACAAATCAATTTCATAACGCTATGTTTTACAACGTGATTATTTTCCTGTGATTTGATAATAAACGAGCGAAGTCTGAGACCTTAATCCTTTTGGTTCGATATCATTTTCTGGGTTCATCGAGGACAAAATATTTTATGCTGCACAACACTAGCTAAATGTCGATATAAGCCAATACTAGCTAGGTTCTGTATCACAATTTATTAACTAATTGTAGACAATTCAGTTTATTAGTTAAGCAGTACAAAGGATTTATTAATTTAGAATATCTCCTTACCGTTCAGTTGAAGTTCGTATAGGAAATTTCTGAAGACACGGCTTCTGTATCTAGGATAAAAAAAATTGTGAAAACTATCCCATTGTTGAAATTTAATCAAAATACGGAAATAATCCCAAATGAACCATATATGATGAAAATTGTTTTTGTTGTGGCACAAAGTAGCGTGATATGTACAATTTTGTTACATTACGACAAATGGTATCAATAGTAAGGTTGGACTTGATAGTTTGAAATAAATTGAGCACTGGATAGAGAGTTAATAATAAATAACCGATAATTTTTCTGTCGGTTATTCATTTACTCTGAAGAAGTGGTTTACATTGAGCCACGAAACGTCAGAAACACAATTATCCTACTGATTGGGATACAACAAAAACATCTCTATTATAATGACAAGTGGTTCAATTTTATTTATTATTCAGTGCCTAGGCTTGGTCAGTAATCTGATGATAGTTAGTTGTGATCAGTGAAAGAATTACCAAAAGAGAGTATTGGTTCACTCAGTTCATACTGAAAGTACGTTGAAGTGTTAGTTAGTGAATCTGATATTTGGTTAGATCTTAAATTGAGTAATGACCCCATAATGTTCACTAAATCCAAAGCTAAATGCTCAAACAGCGAATTAGGAGGAAGCTGCAGGTTCTGAAGACAAATAGATGTTAAGGAAAATAATGTTGAAGTAGTAAACACTTATTTCTTCAACCAGAATGTACACCAGCATTTCCAACATTATGATAATGAATGATAGTAAATAGAAATATACTTTCGATCATAGGTGAATTTACCAAACTAATATCCAGAAGGGCTTGCTTTGCCAGGAATCGTTCTCGTTGAATACGTTCTTTCAAACTACTTGGAACATCTGGGATGAAGAAATCTAGAGCGTTCGCCAAAACAAATGCCACGTGCTATAAAATTAAATATGTCGTCGTTAATGAAACCAATTATCTACTAAGATCAAAGTAAATTAATTGAAATGTGTGTAATCGAAATAATTACTGTTAGAGAATATTATTTAGTTCCCTTGGTGATTTTACTGACTACTTGTTGCACCAAATTAAAACAACCGACAGAATCGAGACAGCGATTGTGTTTGAGATGCATTCAAAGGACCTGAGAAGACAAAAGTCCCAATTATGTTTCATTTAACTGGACAATTTTGTAACAGAATCATTCGGGTGAAGAATATTCACTCACTGTGAACAAGACTAAATGTTAAACAAATGTGGGGATTTTCGACTAGTTTATTCATTGAACAAAACCTATTGTAATTGAGGTAGAACTTTCCATTTTATCTGGTTGTTACGTTCTTACATAGTTGAGCGATTGCTCAGTTCTTTTTTAATCGTGGAACCAAAATAATTCAACATTAGATGAAATAGTGCTGTGTTTTTTTTTACAAAAACTTCCTAATATTCTCGGGAAGAAAATTCGGATTTGCACAAAACCAACCATACTTATATCATATCCGGATCACAGCAACTATCCTACAACCAATTTCGATTATGGTTAATTTTGGTTAAGGCCTTTTATTAACTTATTTAACAGACAATGTTATTTGAACAGTAACAATTCACATATTTCTTCGTTCTGTTAGGATCACTAGATCATCACATGACAGACACTTGCTAGAATGTTGATCGCTTAAATATCACTCGATGATTCATCCTGCTACCCATGTATATATGTGCTCAAATCCTATTGTTAAACTTTGCCTTGACTTGCTGTGCCCTAATATGATCTGGCTGTAAATTAATTTGCCTATGAATTGGCTCGTACATGCATATTGGCCTCCATGCTTCGAATTCGCTGAATGTGCTTATGGCAATGTGATCTTCTTCCCTGTCGGCTGAAAAAACTGTAGTTGCCGCTTGTTATTGCCTTCTGATTTGAAACGCCGTTGAAATTTATGTAATAACGGTTTCAAGGGTGATTGAGTAACGAAGCAAATCTACCACATGGTTAGCAATAGGGAATACGATGACTCCGATGAGGTCACTGTGTTTATCTATGTTCTAAGAACGTGTCTTGTAACAAGTACTGTAACCAGAAATTAGAAACACCACATACAATTCACTAGTGTACATGAATAAGAATATGAAAACTGGAAATTGTGTTATGTCACGTAAGCAAATTTGTCCTTCCTATTATACCCATCTATCAAATGAACAGACTAATTTAGCGAACTGCTTAACAAAAATCCATTTATCGTGCTGCTATATGTATTAAAAATTTGATGCTTATGTGGAATAGACTATGGGTTTCTAGGACAATATTTTAGTAGTTCATATACACATGTTGATAAAGTTACCTCGAAAACGATTACGAACGCTAGACGGAGAGCCAAAAGTCTCCAGAAAAACATCGAGTATTCACCATTATTATCCCGAAAAGCTTTATACCTGTAAAGTATGGAAAACCAACTTATGCAATTAGTGGATGCCTTTACATAAACTGTTTAATCCATCAAACCAAATGGTGCTTTTACAGTAAATTTTTTTTTTAAAAGGGAAGTTGAATTCTACATATAAAATTACTGTATATTATGATTTAATATTTCGAGTGGAATTCCCGGAAGGAATTTATATGACAGTTGTACTGATTTCCACCTATGAGAATACCACTTAACTGATTTATTACATTAAAAAAGTATCGTTTATTTTGAATATCGTTGATCTATGTATACACTAGTTTAGATGTGACTGTTCTTCATATATAGTGTATCGATCTATGAAAACATGATTTCTGAGAACGCCGTTAAATAGTTCCATAATTGACTCGAAATAATTTTTTGTGAGCAGAAGCTGTTAGCTTTAGAGAATCTTAACTAGAAGTTATTAGTTTTTGATCAACGAGTAAGGTAATTTAAACTGAAAAATCTGATGCGAATTGAAAGAACATAATGAAGAAACGAGTTATGGATTCGAATTTCCATTGGCTTACCATCTTCATCTTTGATTGGTCTCTGTTTGTCTATCATATTTTCCTTCTAGTTTCTTCGTTGCGTCATGTAGCTGTCTCATATTTCCTTATCTTGAAGTTTTTTTTCGCTGTGGTTGCTAGCTCTTCCACACCTTGTCAGCTCTAATGCTCATCTTCACTTGCTTGTTCGCTTCAATGTATCCAGCTTGTGGCTAGACTTTCTATGCTCCTGTTCTGCTATTGTTTATTTCTGTCTTCTTTTTTAGTTTTATGGTTCCGTTCAAGATGGAGCTTATTCATTTTTTTGACTTTACACGTTCACCATTAGAAGAATCGAAGTAATGATTACGCAATGTTATATTCATATTCACTACAATCAAGCTATAGTGTTGAATTTGTGTATTTACAATTAATATTGATTTTTTGTTGTTTATACGATATAATATTTATGAATTATTGCTCAGTATTCTGTACAATCGTCTTTTAACCACTTGGTCATGAGGTAAAATCTACTGTTTACTAAATGTAGGTAACGTTTCAGTGGTATCATTGGCTTTCACGAACATACATTAATAACATGTATCTTTGATTGTTTTCTACGAACATTTAATTTAAAACTATCAATCTTAGTCAACATATCAAAGTTTCTAATTATAATTTATCTATTCGTTTTATCAATGTTTGGTATAGTGAATTTCAAATGTTATCTGCACATGATTATCTAAATTTGGATATTAGTATTATTATTATTGTTATCATCATGTGTAACAGAAATCTCGAATTTTTCGAAAATAAAAGCCATAAATGTGTATCTCTATTGTTTATTGATTAATTTTATGTTGACCAAGATGAGTAATTTTCTCTTTGCTGATAATAAGAATTCTATGTTGTCTTAGAACATTTCAATTATTAATAACAGTTGAATACTTTGCTAAAGTATTTCCAACTGATTTTTAGATAATGAGTGTTTTACACTGAGCAGAACTTTATCTGAGACTTCGTTACATGTATGTTTCTTTACTAAGCCTGTACATACATTTTTTTCAGTTTACTACACCACATTAACATAGCGAAATGCTGAAGTAGAATAAGCACTAACAGTATACGTTATAGTAGGAAAGATAAGTACTAACAATATAATTTGTGAAGAAGGTATAAATTTGTGGAATTGGAAAAGAATGTAAGATAGTTTGGAAACTTAGGTGCTAAGGGGAAGACAAAGGGTGGGTGCACCTAGGTCATCGATAAGGATTATATATATCCTGATCAGTGTAACAGGTTATTATTGTTCAGTTATTGAATCTAGGTTGAATGGATATTCTTACTGACTGTACAAATTTCTAATTCTGTATTGTGATTTTCGGAATTGGAATCCGTACATGATGTCGGTGCAGAATTGACAGCCAATCCAAAATGGTACTGAAAATATGGATTGTATTGTTAATGTCATATAAGTGACACTTTGTTTATTTTGAGTGATCTTTAAAATAAATATATGTGCTTATATCAATATCCATCTGTGTATTTTTAAATACTTCATTATTTTGAGTGTATTCACCTTATCATATATCGTTAATCAATTATACGTGGTAAACACTAATTACTGAAACGTGATTAAAAAATAGCTTGAGGTAAGTTTTGATAAACGGACCGATTAAAGGTCGAATCACATAAAAAAAGAATCAGTTGAATTCACTTTTTAAATATCTTTAGGTTAAATCATTCGAATATCATAATCAAAATGTCATTTAACCTTATCGACCTATTAATGCTACGAAATCATCTGGCATCCTTTTAGTACTCCTAAACATGAACTATCTTGACTAAATACTTAACCATAATCAGATTGAGTCTCGATTCGCCACGTCAAGTAGTCTAT